TTTTTTTTTTTTTTTTTTTTTTTTTTTTACAAAGTTAAAAGCCACCACAAAAGTGTCGGTGATACGGTAGTTGGCAAAGCTGAGCAAAAAAAAAAATTTGTGTAATTGAAAGAATGCATGAAAGAAAGGATTGCATGTGATGTCAAAGAAACATTGCGTATCATTATGACTGACATCCCCCCTTTGGGTAATTGTAACAATTTATTTTCCCAAAAAATTCATTTGGTTTTATGTTTTGTGAAGAAGAAAAAAAAATTTTTTTTAAAGATTTTCAAATTTTCTTCATTCTTTTGAGAGGAAAAAAGTCTTTCTCATCATTCTATTCTTTTTTTTCTTTTTCTTTTTTCGGTTTGTCGTCTTTTTGTTTTTTTTTTGTCTTCTTCCTTTTGTCTTGTCTTAAGTCAAGCTTGTTTGGAAGTTTTTTTTATTCGCCTGTAACACGGAATAGCTGACTAGGCATTTTAAGCTAAATTTTTTTTTTTGTTCCAGTGACATTTTGAACGACGACCAGATAAAAAGTTGACTGAAATATTTGGATGTTAAGTTGTTGTTGTTTTCTTTGTTTCTTTCTGTTTTTTCTTTTTTCTTGTTTCTTAGTTTAGTTTCAACTGAACGTTTCTGCTTTTTTTTTTTCTTCCGTCTTTTAAAAACTTGATCTTGTTTTATGCTTTTATAGAATATCCAAAACCACTACGGTTGTCAGTGTTTCTCGACAGATGCAAATATTGATGGTTACCGAGTGGCAAGCAAAAAAAAAAAAAAAAAAAAAAATTTGTCTTAATCGTCTTCAATTGTCACGATGTCGGTTACAGGAAAATAGAAAAACTGTTTGTTATTTTGTTTCAGTGTGCTGCTATTGAATCAAACTTTTACAGAATTTTATAACAGAACAGTACTTTTGCATTGATTTGCTGAAGTTATCTGTCGTCAGTTTGTTTCCACTGAATTCTTCAAAAGCCATTATCAGTAACGCTGCAATAACCGATTTGGGTGTCACTGTTGTTAAATCGTCGCCTATACTGTGGTGTGCTTTATTCATTTATACTCTGCTGATGCCTCAGATATTTTCAGTTTACTCCTTACTTCAGGTTATTATTAAAAATTTCATCTAACAGCAATAAAAATTTAAATAAAAAAAGAATAAATTTTTTTTTGTAACGGAAAAACAACAGTATTAATTAATTAATTTTTTTTTGCAAATCTATAAAACAGATTTCTTTTTTGCTAATCAAAAAGCGTAAATGTGATAAGTGTAATATGGATAATTTACAAAAATCAGTTTAATAACCAAAATGGTTGATAGGCAAAGAAAAAAA